TGTTTAGTTTTATAATCCATCTATCCAGTCTGCATCTTTTTATTAGAGAATTAAGACCATTTATTTACCTTAAGGGTTATTTTTAAAAGATATGTACTAATTCCTGTCATTTTGTTGTTTTGAATGATCTACGTTCTTTTCTTTTTCCATTATTCATCTTAGAAGTAACTAATCCTTACTAATTCTCATTTACTGGTTTTCTCTTCTAGTAAGATTTATTCTTTTCTATGATTTTGTTTGTCTTGCTTCCTCTTTTATGTATAGGATTCCTTCAAGTATCTTCTATAATGCTTGTTTTAGTAATCATGAATTCCTTTAATTTATGCTTATTTTTTAAGGTCTTTATTTCTTCTTCGGTGTTGGAGGTTGACTGCTGGATATAGTTATCAAGGTTGGTGGGTTCCCCCTCTCCTCCAGGGCTTCATGCATCATTCCATGTCCTCCTGGCCATTAGAGTTTCTGCTAAGAAATCTGCTGTCATTCTAGTGGGTTTACTTTTAGATGTGACTCTGCACTAGGGGTTCTTTTGAGGTTATGTCTATTTAGAGTTCTAAATGCCTCCTGTACCTGGATTCCCATGTCTTTCCCAAAAATGCGGACAATTTCTGCTTCTTATTACTTTAAATTAGTTTTCTATACCCTTAGCCTATACCTGAAGTCTTTCATCTGTTCCCAGTATATATAAGTGTGGTCTTTTAATGGTGTCCCATAGATCTTGTATGTTCTTTTCATTCTTTCTTAAATTTTTTCCTTACTAGTATCAGAATGTGATAATTCATCAACTTTATTTTTTATTATTTTTTTTATACTGGGGATTGAAGGATTGAACCCAGGGGTTCTTGGCCACTGAGCCACATCCCCAGCCCTATTTTTTTTATAATTTATTTAGAGACAGGGTCTCACTCAGTTGCTTATTAGTGCCTTGATTTTGCTGAGGCTGACTTTGAACTCGTGATCCTCCTGCCTCAGCCTCCCAAGCTGCTGGGATGACAGGAGTGCATCACTGTGCCCGTCTTCAACTTTATTTTTAATGCCTGATATTCTTTCTTCTACTTGATCTAGTTTACTAATGCAGCTTTCTGCTGAGTTTATAATTGGACTTACTGAGCTTTTCATTTCCAGTATTTCTATTTGGTTCTTTTTCAGAATCTATATTTCTTTATTAAATTGTTCTTTCATAACCTATATTATTTTCCTTAGTTTATTCAACTATTTGTAACCTCTTTGAATTTATTGATCATTTAAAAAACCCTTCTTTTGAATTCTTGTCCAACATCTTTGGAATCAGTTACTAAAGAGTTATTAACTTTTGGTGGAGTCACATTGTCTTTTTTTTTTTTCACATTTCTTGTGTTCTATGTTGAGATCTACACATATATTGAAATGGAAATCACTTCCATTTTCATGTGAAGGGCTTGTTAGGGAGCAGCCTTCTTTTTATATTGTGCCCAAAAAAATTAGTTTGTTTTGTAGTGTTGTTTCATTATGAATGGACTTCTTATTTCTTACTGTAGTTTTCCTATGGCTTTTGGCTTGCATGTTGTGTTTTGGCATGTGTGCTGTGTTAGAACCTAAGTAACCCACTTCCCTGTACATCTCCCAAGAATGAGGACCCTCTGGAAGTGCAGGCAGGTGTGCTGTAGGCAGCAGGGTATAGGAGTTCTACTCTTTTTACATAGTCATCCAATCTTGCCAGCAGCCTGAAAAGATACGGGAGGGTATGGGAACAGCCTATGCTGACGTCACTCATAGGTGCAGTATCCCCAGCTGTTGCATTGTTTCTCTCTGTTGTTGCTGTGGGAGTGAATGGCTGTGATGGGACTTCAGGCCTCCTCTGTGCCTACTTGGGGCCACATCATCTACTGGAGGCTTATCTCCCCCATCTTTAAGTTGAAGTATCTGCCAAGGTTCTAGAAAGTCAAGGAAATGTCTAGATTGAGTTGCAGTTTCTCACAACTGCGGGATGCCACTCTGCAGCCAAGTACCCACTCGACGTCCTTAAGGTGCTAAACTTGATTCCCAGCAGTACTTAGAAAGAAGAAAACAAAGTAACAACCACAAAATAAAAACAAACTAGAAGTGGAAATGCAGTAATAAGCAAATAAAAACAACTACAACATGGAGGCGCTATAGAGTCAGTCTCGACTATCTGCGACTGAAGGGATTGGGCAGCAGTGGGTCTTATGCATGAGTTTCCCATGAGTCTGATGTTTCAGAACCCCCATGCTATATATAGTATAATTGTGTGTATATATATCATAATTGATATATATAGTATATATAGTATATGATTTTAGATATGAAAACCCCATTTCTCACAGCTGGCTTCCTGTCGGTTCTAAATGGAAAGTGACTTTTGTTCCCTTATGCATCACAGACCAGTTTTCCATTGTCACTATCTGTGGGTCTCAGACATTTCAGCTCTTGACCATGTCACAGAAAAGATTTAAGGATGTATCAGGTTTGAGTAGCAGAGCAAGAAACTTATTATAATGGGGAAAGTACACAGTCTAGACTGGAGGTGCTGGCAAACTCAGTTAAGAACGGGAGAATTGCCTCTTTTGGGTCTGGAATTTGACATTTATAGAGAGATAGCAAGGGACTGAACTAGAGGTGGAATTTACACAATTCCCCACCAGTTTTCCTTGCACTTGCACGTTGCCCTCACATGTTCTAACCTTGCTACTTCTTTTTTAGAAATGTTTTTATTAGTGCTTTATACTATATATAGCAATGAGTTTCATTTTGATGTACATGCATGGAATGGAATTTGTTCCATTCCAGTCCCTAGTACTTCCTCTTTCCACTCCTCCCATCCTCTGTTTCCCTTCCTCTGCTGGTCTACCTTCTACTTATTGTTCTTTTTAATTGGTGTTATGTAGATACACATAATGGTGAAATTCACTGTGGTATAGTTGTGTATGTACATAGCATAGTTTGTTCAATTTTTATTCTGTAGTTCCTCCATTTTCGTTCTCCCTCTACCCCATTCCTCTACTCCACTGATCTCCCTTCTATTTTCATGAGATTGAACCCAGGGGCCTTAACCACTGAGCCATATCTCCAGCTCTTTTATTTTTTATTTTGAGACAGGGTATTGCTGAGTTGTTTAGGGCCTCACTAAATTGCTGAGACTGGCCTCAAATTTATAATTCTCCTGAGTCTCTGGGATTACAAGCCTATGCCTGGCTATCTCCTCCTTTTTAAGAACTTCAGTCTCATGTCTATTAAGTTGCTTAAAGATGTCCTACAGTTCATTTATGCTCTGATCTTTTTCTTCTTTTCTCTCCATATTTTATCTTGGATAGTTTCTATTGCTATGTAAAGTTCACTAATCATTTCATATACCATATACAATCTGCTGTTAATCTCATCTAGTAGATTCTCATCTCAGCCATTTGTGGTTTTCATATCTAAAAGTTTAATTTGGGTCGTTTTAAAAATATCTTTCAAGCTTCTGCATAACATTTAATCTTTAGCTTCATAGAACTGAATTCTGTGTAATAACATTTATAATAGCTTTCAATGTCTTTGCTATTTCTGCTGTCAGTTTGTAATAAGTTTTGATATAATGAATTTTCTCTTTGTTGTAGACATATTTTCCTCCTCCTTTAAAAGCTTGACAATTTTTTGTTCAGTACCAGACGTTGCAAATTTTAATTTTTTGGGTGCAGGACATATTTGTACTCCTATTAATACTCTTTTGAATTTTGTTCTAGGATGCAGTTCCCTCGATTAGGAATAGTTCTTTCTTGGTCTTATTCTTAACATTTTTTAGTTTTGTTACTGAGGGGTATAGCTCAGTGGTAGAGCACTTGCCTGGCATGTACAAGGCCTGGGTTCAATCACCAGCACTGCAAAAAGAGAGATTTTTTTTTTAGGTTGGACCAAAGCAGTGTTTAGCCTAGGTCTAATTAGTCTCCTGAAGCAAGATCCTTCTCAGCACTCTATCTATTGCCCCATGGATTATGACATTTCTTTAAACCAGGCTGGTGGAAGTGACCACTGTTCCTTACCCTGGGTGAGCTCTGACTGTTGTTCTCTTTAATGTTGTTAGCTAATCTTCTTCCCTGCCCCCCAGCTTGACTTGTTTCCTTGTATCCATATGGTGATCTGTATTCTATTGAATTCTCAAGCAGCGCCCTCTGCAGATCCTGGAGATCTCCACTCTAGTAGTACTCTTCTGTGACAACTGTAGTCACTGTGGGCCTCCTAGACTTTCAGCTCCTCATCTCAAGAGAGTCCATCAGGTTCCAATTTGGTTGCCCCTTGGCAGGTCAGAAGGAGTAGATAAGGTAATATCTGCTTTTGAGGCCTTTGAGTACTGCACAGGAGAGTCAGGATTCAATCCTATAAGACATATTGAAGCTGTATTTCAGAAGACACAGGTGACCTGAGCGAGTCCTTGCTGAATATGTTAATCAGTTAACATGTTATTAGCCCACAGATCATTGAGGAAGTTGCCCTTCATCACTCGATACCAGTATCAACTACTGACACCTCTCCAGGGCCATAGATGATTTCTCCAGAAAGGCCCTAGCTTAACCAAATGATAACATGACATAATACAAGAAACAATTGCCCCCCTTTTGCAAATTGATTTTTCTATAGAAGAGAAGGAGTAAGAAGCAGGCCTCCATTCTCAGATGACTCACCAAGATTGAAGGACAGTTGGTGGACAGAAAGTCAGTCTAGAGGTTTGCTTCTTACATGGTCCCAGACTAGCAGCAGTGGCACACTGGGAGCTTCTTGGTACTACAGAGCCACATTTACCATCAAAATCTGCACTGTGATGAAAGGCTTAGCTGTTTCATATGCATTGAAATTTGAGAAGCACTGTTTTAAGGAAATGGTACCTGTGCCCTCTAGTGGCTGGCCAGCAACTTGCAGGAAGTTTTTTTTTTTAATTTTTATTACTTATTGATAGACCTTTATTTATTTATTTGTTTATACATGGTGTTGAGAACCCAGGAAGTTTTTAAAATATTTTCTCATTTTAGGACCTTTGCACAGAACTGCCGAAACATTGAACATTTAAACCTCAATGGGTGCACAAAAATCACTGACAGGTAAGTAATGAGGATTAGTTTAGGGATAAAGTGGCTGCCGGGTGAATGAGGGGAGAGAAACATGGTTGAAAATATCTTTAGTGCATCTGCTCTTTTCCAGCACGTGTTACAGCCTTAGCAGATTCTGTTCCAAGCTGAAACACCTGGACCTGACCTCCTGTGTGTCTATTACAAACAGCTCCTTAAAGGGCATCAGGTAGGAGCACCCATTGTTTGTGGTCTAGAAAATACCCAAACAGTGAACATTCTGATGTATCTTCCTGATGAAGCCTTCCTAATAGTCCCACTAGAGCAGGGAACAGATGATGGCTCAGACAGGTTATGGGGGCTGTCTTCACTCACTGAATTGCTCATGATGTACTATATTCAAAGTCGGTAATAACTGTCTACAGGAGTACACAGGGGCGTTTTGTTTCTTGTTCTCTCAGTGAGGGCTGCCGAAATCTGGAGTATCTGAACCTCTCTTGGTGTGATCAGATCACAAAGGATGGCATCGAGGCGCTGGTACGGGGTTGTCAAGGCCTAAAAGCCCTGCTCCTGAGGGGCTGCACACAGGTACCAAAAATGTTCATGCAGCTGATTTTCTCACACCTTAGGGAACTAACTTGCTGTTGCATTTTTCCTGGTGTCCCACTTGTTCCCTTACCAAGACTTCATCCCTCTTCTGTTTTTTGTGTCCACTTAGTTAGAAGATGAAGCTCTGAAGCACATTCAGAATTATTGCCATGAGCTTGTGAGCCTCAACTTACAGTCCTGCTCAGTAAGTAGCATGCCTTTCCTGAGCACTGCCCTGCTCCATTCTCTCCCCCAGAAATCTGCTGTGGGCCTCACTGCATAACATCCGCTGCAGCTGAGATGACTGGCAAATAGTCACATTGCCAGACCTGCACTCTGGCTTCTCATCCTGTGTCTTCGTAGGATATGTCACTTTGCCATGAGATAAAAGAACAAGGCATCATCCTCAATACTGAGCCACCAACATCTCCCCTAGAAGTACTATAAATCAAGTCTTGATTAAAAAAAAAAATAGAGTATTGAGTAAAGTATCAGAGTTGCCATGAACTAACCAGGCACAATGGTGAATGCTTATAATCCTACAAGTTTGGAAGGCTGAGGCAGGGGGATTGCACATCTGAGGCCAGCCTCAGCAATTTATCAACTCCAAGCAACTTAACAAGACCCTGTCTCAAAAGGGCTGGGGATGTGGCTCAGTTAATCACCAGTACAGAAAAAGAGAAAAATTCTGTGAACTAGTCACTTACTAGTTGTTAGACCTGAATAGTTCATTATAAGAACTCAAGTGTTTTTTTTTTTCAACTTATAAATTGGGGGTAATGGCAACTGTAATATTTCAGGAGATAAAATGAAATAGCAGATGTGAAAATGCCTAGAAAAATAAATGACGTATGCAAGAGCAAGGTAGCATTTCATCTTCATCAGGGCATAGCCTGTGCAAACCTGCTGGCCCTTCCTCACTGCCACTATAAATGCTGAGAAGTACAGAGTGTGCCTTCAGTAGGTTACAGGGTTCCTCAAGGGGCATGTAGACCCTGAGAGAGTTCTGTCTCTTAAAAGCCCTTGTATTTGATCTTTAATGAATGAATACTAAATCTTTAGAGTCCCTGATGGTGGGACAGAAAACAAACCATCTTCTGGACCAGTCTTGACTATTCAAAATAAGACCTTGATTTGCATGTAGAATGACACGTGGCTCAAGATACAATGTAGGTGTGCAATTTATTTCTATATGAATTAGAGCATTTAAGTTATATGGAATCCTTATGGCTAAACTAACAAAATTCTAAGGCATTTTTAAATAACTGATTTGTTATCTTTAAAACATTTGAGGAAATATTGTTTGTATATATGTGATTTATATGGAAAATGACTAAAGCATTAATTTGTAGATGTTCAGTCAAATATAAATGTCACTTAGGCAAGTTTTATGTTTTATAATCAAGAATTTTTCGTGGGTCGGGGAGTCTTATCTATATCTATTTTGATGAATCCTGGGGGTAGAAATAGAATTTAAAGTTTTTACTCTCCATCAGTAATGCTAGAATATTTTAATGCAAATACATATCTGCCCTTATTTTAAGTTGTTAGGAAGTGCTAGTAACTGACAACCAAGTAACAGCAGATCCCATTTTTCTGTTGCTCCTGTCGAGTTCTGATGTCCTCTGACTTCTTCCTGCACTGCTTTTCCACAGCGCATCACGGATGAAGGCGTGGTGCAGATATGCAGGGGCTGCCACCGGCTGCAGGCCCTCTGCCTTTCGGGTTGCAGCAACCTGACCGATGCGTCTCTTACAGCCCTGGGTCTGAACTGCCCGAGACTGCAGTGAGTATGCAGCTCAGAGATTGCCTGTGCTGACCAAAAGGAGGAGAAGGATGGAGCAAGGGGAACAGGTGGTAGGGGAGGCAGGAGTTGTGTTTTTGCTGAGTGGACGGAGGTGAGGCAGGGTGTAACCCAGTTCATTGAGGTGGGCACCAGCAGAGTGTGAAATGGCTAGCACCAATGAATCTGAATTGTGTTTCTTGATGAGTTCACACATTCCAACCACCACCACCACCAATTTGCTTCACCTGTTAATCTCTTCAAACACCAGAGTAATCTGATGTCGAGCAGAGTGGTAGCCTTGGTCCAGATGTTCCCAGTGTCTCCTTTAAACCTGCTGCTAAGTAGGCACAGTGAGGGGAAAAGATCATAATTGCTTCTTATTTTTCATTTTCCCCAGCAGGAAGAAAGGGAGATTTTTGTTTTGTTTTGGCATTGGGGATTGAACCCAGGGGTGCTTTACCATTGAGCTACATTCCCTACCCTTTTTTTTTTTTTTTTTTTTTTTTGAGACAAGGTTTTACTAAGTTACTGAGGCTAGTCTCAAACCTGTAATTCTCCTGACTCAGCCTCCCAAGTTGCTGGAATTACAGGTGTGCACCACCACACCCAACTGTTTCAATAAATAATAATTTATTTTCTGATTCTCAAGGCAACACATTATTGCTACCAGCTGTGCATATGAAAACTACTTAGGGCTAATATTGCACTCATGTGCCAGGTGTCTTTATGAGCGATATCTTATCCTCAGTACATCTCTGAGTAGTTACCACTATTCTCATTTGTTCTGCAGAGGAGAAACAGATACAGAGGAAAGTCATATAATTTGTCCTGGGTCACATGATGATTAAGAAGTAAAGATAGAATTTGGACTTAGGGTTTGACTTTCAAACTAGCAATCCTAATCTGCAGACAAGAGGCAGAAAAATTATTTTAACTTTTTATATGACAGTGAAATGGATCCATTTTTCATATCAGTCATGTAACTTTTAAGAATCATTTATTTTGTATTTGGATTTTTTAATTAAGAAAGATTCTAGATAATTTTGATATTTCTGCTTCATAGAAGGAATTTGGGTGGTCAAAACTAGTCAGAGGACTGGGGATGAAGCTCAGTGGCAGAGCATGCACTTAAAATGCATTAGGGCCTCAGTCTAATCCCTAGCACAGAAACAACAAAAGACCAAAAACAACCCTGGTCAGAGAACAGGTTAAAATTATTGTTAACTTAGAAATGTTATTCATGCATTCATTCCTATTAAGCATGAATAATTGAGAATTATGTGTATGTAGGTGTGTGTGGTACTGGGCATTGAACCCAGGGGTGCTGTACCACTGAGCTATATCCCCACCCCCTGCCTCAGCTTCCCAAGTCTCTGGGATAACAGGAATGTGCCACTGTGTCCCTCACCAAAAATCGACTCAGTTTTTCATTGCCTATAATTGTTTTAAATTTCCTGTAACTTGGAATTTCAATGAATATATTGTAATATGATTTTGTTACATAAATTAATTTTAATTGTATTTTATTTATTTTTTAAATGAAATGCAATATTTTTAAAATATATTTTTAGTTGTCAATGGACTTTTATTTTATTTATTTATTTATATGTGGTGCTGAGGATCAAACCCAGTGCCTCACTCAGGCTAGGCAAGTGCTCTACTACTGAGCTACAACCCCAGTCCTTTATTTAGTGACTTTTAAAATAAGTCACTAAATATTAGAGTATTATTTCAAAACCAACAATGTGGTTGTGAGGAAGATTCTTGGATTTACTATGGGAGTTTGGGATGAGTCTTTAGGGCCTTGGACAGGTCCTCCCTAACCCTCAAGCAGGCCCTCATCTGTTCAATTGGGACAGTCCTTGAGTTTTACAACCCTTAGAGTGATTGACAGAGGCAAAGTGTCAAAGAACAGAACAACATCAAGAGTGTGCAGCGGAGCATAATGTTTCTATTGTTAACCTGTTGGTACTTTTTTCTCCCCTGCATGTCCCCTTCCCAGAATTTTGGAGGCTGCCCGATGCTCCCATTTGACTGATGCAGGCTTTACACTTTTAGCTCGGGTAAGGCATAGATTTTTAAACAACAACTGTAATTCACCGTCCTAATTCAAAGTGACCTGGGGTGGTTGTGTGGTGTGCAGAAATTAGCTTCAGAAAAGACGAGCACAAAGCCAAGTAGAATCCTTGGGGTAAGTTTTACATTTTTTTCAGCTAGCCAGAAATCTAGGAAGATAGAGGATTCTGGAAAGGGCCCAAGCCTCCTTCTTACTTGAACAGGTGAGGCCGCCCTGAGAGGAGCTTCTTCTCCTGTAAGAGATGCCATTCCTACACAGACCCCAGTTGGCCTCTCTGCAGCATCCCCTAACTAGGCTGGGCTTGCTCCATTTTCTACATTGTCTGCCACAGTGACCACCAAGGTCACTATGAGGCTCTTTCTGGGCTTGTTGCAAGGAGCCAGTGTCCTTCAGGGGATGCTGATATATTCTTCTTCCTACCCTACCCTCAACCCCACCCACCTCCCCAGTGTAGCTGAGCTCCTCATTCCCTGTCCTCCCAGAGCCTGGCCTATGATTAAAATTTTCCTGCTAATGTCTGAACCACTGGGAAAGTGCTCTTTCAGGTTGAGAGAAGAAAATGCTGCCAGAGCAGCCCTATTTCCATTTTCAAAGTGACTATGACTCAAAGGGCACAAGCTCAGAGATGCTGAGTAGCTCTGGGAACAGACCATACCCCTTAATGGAAAAGAACAAGGACTTTGGTTCATACTCAGGGGGACAGGTAAGTTGCAGGTGTTGCCTACACAGCAGGGCATGTCTTGTGTACTCTTTCAGAATTGCCATGACCTGGAGAAGATGGATCTGGAAGAATGCATCCTGGTGAGTGGAACCCTAAGAGCCCTGAGGGCTGCTCCTCAGTTACTGCTAGTAGCATCACACAGCTAGGGACATAGACTGCCTGTTGTCCCAACCCGTTTTGCCCAGTATAGGCAGTGGGACTTGGGAACTCATTAGGGCCATGGCAGTGGGATATGTAAACTTTTGGCTACTTGCAGTCATCAGGCAGAGTTATAGCAAAGAAATTCAAGATGGCTTCATCTTTTGCCAGACATAAAAAACAAGGTCTCCTCTTATTTTTCACAGAACTTGAGAGAGAAATAAACTAATATATCCAGCGATGGGATGACTCTAGAGAGAATACTTCTTGCCCATTCCCTCTTTGTTCTTTTCCCCTAAGTCCCTTTTAGGGCACCGTAGGGAGACCAAACTGTTACAGTTGAGCATCTCCAGGAGTGGGCAGATTGGAGGTTGCTGGTAAAGACAGGAGCTTCCAGCCGGAGTATGCCTGGATGAGTTTTTAATTCTCTTTTGCACCTTTTGATTTCCATGTTCAGGAGAAGCCAGGATTAGGTATTAAGTTCTGGTGTAGAAGCTACACTGACACAGCGTGTTTCTCTCCAGATAACCGACAGCACGCTCATCCAGCTCTCCATTCACTGTCCTAAGCTACAAGCCCTGGTGAGTCTTTTGAGTTTTTGTGACATTATTCACCTCTTAGGAACGAAAGGACCCTCCCATCACAGCAAAAATCACTGTGGGTTCTCTGTCCATCATGGTTCCAGAGCTTAGAATTTCTAAGCTCTACCAGCTGGGCTAACTTGGGAAGCAGGATATCTGGATATTACTGCTTTCCCCCAGCAGGGACCCGTGTCCTGGTCACTTCACTCAAGTTTGTGTTTGTCTTGGCAGACAGGGTGAAAGCAAGATGAAATGTTACATTCCTCAACAAGTTTGGGACCATCCTTCTGTTGTATTTCACATCTGTTCTTCTAGGGGGGGAAAGGAATGAGACCATTTTCTTAGATGTATATTTACACCTTTTGAAAGATGCAAAATGAGTGCCTGCCACTCTTAGCCACGAAGACATCTCACTCACATTTCACTCCTGTCCATCTGAGCCTGGAGAAGGGGAGGGTCACTGTCTGCTGAGCAAGCCACTGAGTGGAAGTCTACCGTACCCACAAGATGCCAGCCATATGATGCAGGCACCATTCAGAGCCCCATTTTATAAGTGAAGAAACTGAGACTCAAAGTGGTGAAGGGACTTGCCCCACAGTTACACAGCTGCTCCAAGTCCCCAGATCTCTTGGCCTTTCCCCAGTCTGGTCTTTCTGAGGCCCACAGGTGCACACAGCCAGTTTTTCTTAAGCCAGCTTTCCCTCTGTCATCTTTGAAAGTTGCCCTCTCCTCAAGGGCTTGAATTCTGTGTCATCATTAAAGCTCCATTTGGCCTCAAGTCACTCTCCCACCAACTTTCCTTATTTCTACTTTCCCTCTGGACACTTCCCCTCAGGCATAAGTGCAAAGGGGCTTCAGATACCTGTGAGAGCAGGCTGCAGGTTCCACGCTGTCAGAGGATGTCCTCCAAATAGTTGGTGTTCTCCCCTGCAGGGGGGGTTTCTGGTGATGGAAAACCTTATCTATCTTGTCCACTATTTTTATACAAGCTATTTCCAAAAACAGGACAGAGGTTAAAAAAAAAAAACTATAAAACCAGAAGCTCCAAATAAAAAATCAAAAATATTTGAACATAAAGAATTATTAGCAGAAAAACAGGAAACAGTTGCAGTTGAAATCTTAACATAGCCTTGAGATTTTAATAGCCAAGATAGATGAATGAGAAAGGTATCTGTTATTCATCCAGTTCACTCTACAAACATTTCTTGAGGACCACCATGCCAAGCACTCCTCTAGTGGTTAGAGACCAAGAAGATGACTCATCAGGAGAGACCACCTGCAATGTCAGAGGATCCACATTTGAGGGACACTTGAGGAGCACTACCCACTTTGGTAAAGGACAGTACTAAGATCTCCTCTGTTGACCCCCAAGCAAAGCTGAGCACAAGTTAGAGCACATGTGTTGTGTGAAGTGCGTTTCTACTGCAGCAGGTCGCACAGTGTGCATGTGCAGCCAGCTCAGTCTGCCCTGGCATAGTGGCACCATGCGAAGGATCGGGCACAGCTTCTAGCAGGGCCTTTGGACTGAGTGCAACGTGAAATAAGTTCTCTTCTCTGCAGGCCTCGTGTAGGGACAGGAGGTCCCACTGGAGCAGCCCAATCTCCACTCAAAAGGAAACTCACGGATCTGAGGGAGAGTGAGTGCTGACCATGACAGACCCAGGCACAGGCTGCCAGGGGCCCACAGCGGGTTCCACCCCAGCCTCCAGAGATCAGTAGAGGAAATACTGTTGGGGGAAACACCATTTTGAATTTTGAAATGTGTCTTTTATCTTTTACTAAAGATCTGCAAGCGGGAAGAAATGAGGAAAGTGACCACCAGAGTGAATGAAGCCAGGTGACTACTTCAGCTCAGTTCCCAACACTCAGGTTTCCCAGGTTCTCCTTTATGTGCAAGAGAGGCTAGTGGGTACATATACCATGGGCTTCCAGGAGTGACTCTGTGATCTTCACTGGAGGAAGGGCTTATGCTCACACTAACACAAAATTCGGAACGATATTCAAAAACCTGATTGTGTTTGACAGTAAATCAAATATGCATTTGCAAACAAGGGGAGTCCCAGATTCAAAAGAATATGAGGGAGCAGTACCCAGAAGATTGGAGAGAGCATGAATTTGTCTGTAGGCAATTAAGGACCCTCTTCGTTTCTTGTTTTTTTTTTTAAAGTTGTAGGATATGTGTTTGTGGCGGGGAGTTTCTGTTGATTACGGAGGAGCTGGTTTCCTTTTCAGAGCTAGTTTGAGTATTTTCAAAAATCATTTTATTGTGTAAGTCATTGGTCCTAGAGACTATTCTAAAGAAAAAGAAATGCAGCCAGAAAAGGAAATGCATTATTTTCTTCATTATGAGATTTTGTTTCATTTAACAAGACACTATGATATTATATAGAAAACAAGACCATTAGAAGTCATATCAGTCACTCTCCCTTTGGGATGACAAGCATATAGATTACCCAGTGGTTAGCCTGCTCTCGGCCATGTTTGAGAATCTTGTTATCAAGCCACTACTTACTGCTCTAAAAGAAACAATAGCAATGTGAGACTTGTTAACATTTAGATGGCTGTTTTCTCCAATTTAAAGTGGATACATTTAACAACTTTGAAAATACCACTATAAGACAGACTGCGTATTTTGTTTTTATGATACTGGGGATCAAACCCAGGGCCTTGTGCACGCTAGGCAATCATTGTACCATCATGCTACAGCCCCAGTCCAAGAATGAATTCTTATCTCATGCCCCACTGTCTGACCAGCGTCTTCCTCCTTTCCAGTCACCCCTTCTGTAACCCAATAATTTCACTTAAATGGGATTCATCTTTTCATTGTCACTCACCCGTTCAAAGTCCCCTCTCCCCCACTCAGCCTAAATTCTGTGGTCAGTTATTTAATCTCTCCCTTAATCCTCAAGATTCACCTTCCCTCTTAGCAAAGCTGTCATCCTGTTTAAATCCTACTCTCAACTATTGAGCAGTCCTTGAAGCATAAGCAAGAGTAAGGTGAAGAGGGCTTGAGGGCATTTACGCAGAGGAACTAGTATGTGTTCTTTGTTGGATGACAAGAGTCCTGGCTGGGCTTTAGAGAGGAGAGAAGGCTGAACGAGAGGCAGGGGTCAGACCTGCTTCTCTGGATTATATCCTTGGAGTTTGGAATGGCTGCTAATTATCCGGAGAGCCATTTTTCTGTGGTAGAACAGTGAAGGTGACCCAGCCCATGTTTTGCTCCCAATTTGAAGCCTGTGGCTTATTCAGAATTTATAGCTATCTCGGAATACTGAAGTTCCCAAGACCATTAGGCCACTCCCGGAGCTCCATAGCAGTTACTCCCACACATATCTGTGGAGACCAGTGAGTGCTATCCCAGCTGCTGGGGCCAAACTTTGGCTCCTGTACACAGGTACCTCCCGTGGCTAAGACCTTTAGTTTATCTCCTGATTAGATTTGGATGCATATAGATCCATGACCATATGTCTTTCTGTTGAATTGACTTTTTATTCCTCTGTCACTCTGTCTTAAAGTCTGCTTAATGTAATATCAATATATCAGCCTTTTTGTGCTTTCCATTTGCAAAGTATATTTTTCTTTCGGATTTTTTTTTAATTCTGTTTTTAAGTGTAAATTTTTTTTTTTTTTAAGAGAGAGAGAGAGAGGATTTTAATATTTATTTTTTTTTAGTTATTGGCGGACACAGCATCATTGTTTGTATGTGGTACAGATGATCGAACCCAGGCTGCACGCATGCCAGGCGAGCGCACTACCGCTTGAGCCACATCCCCAGCCCAAGTGTAAATTCTTTTTAAAAAGGACTAAAATTCTGTTCTTTTGGATTCTATGTGTTTTAATATCTTAAGAGACAGTGTATCTGGGCTGGGGATGTGGCTCAAGTGGTAGCGCGCTCGCCTGGCATGCTTGCGGCCCGGGTTTGATCCTCAACACCACATGCCAACAAAGATGTTGTGTCCGCGGAGAACTAAAAAAAAATATTAAAAATACTCTTTCTCTCTCTCCTCTCTCACTCTCTTTAAAAAAAAAAAAAAAAACAGTGTATCATTGGGTCCTGCTTTTGTCTAGTCTGGTGATCTCTACCTTTTTTAATAGTTTAGTCATTTATGTATAATATAATATTGAGAGAGTTGGATTTGTGTTCTTCATTTCACTGTTTTTTTTAATATTTATTTTTTAGTTGTAATTGGACACAACACCTTTATTTCACTTGTTTATTTTTGTATGTGGTGCTGAGGATCGAACCCAGGGTGAGTGCTCTACCGCTGAGCCACAACCCCAGCTCTTCATTTCACTGTTTGTTGTTCTGTTTTCTATTCCTCCATTCTTCCTTTCCAGTTTTCTTCTTGGATTAACTGAACATTTTTAGAAATTGTTTTATCCATTGGCATTTTGGCCATAGCTTTGTGCATTGATTTTGAACGGTTGCAGTTTCAGCATTAGATCTTGAAAGTTCTTTCTATAAATCAAAGGCAACTTTCCTCAGTAGGGATTCAGGGAAAGCCTGGGATTGTGATTAAGCTCCTGTCCCAGCACCAGCACCTTGCACAGCACCTGGTGAGGAGAAGCCACTTCAGATGTTCTTTTGGAACAAAGTGGATATAAACGAACCAATCCGAGTCTCAAGAGCTCAGCACAGTAACTGGTATGTGAGTGATGAGGGTCACCCCTAGAATTGTGGGGCTTAGGCTCCAAAAATTGCAGTCCTTCTTAAGAGGATGCCAGCTACCTCAGCCTTGCCATATCTCCACCAAAAAGTCTGCTTCTTTGGAGGAGAGGGAAGGTCAGAGATTCCTGTGTTCAGCACTGGCACACCCCCAGCCCAAGTTCTTTACTCACCTAAAGTCTCAGGCAATTTTGTCAAGGCAGGCAGGCCCACAACGTCACTGGTAGGCCACCAGACTCTCAGAGACAGGTGGAGGAAAGGATTCTCTTTGAAAGGTGTCAGGGGAAGATTTAGAGCCCTCGGGGAGGAGAATGTCTGGATTGCTTAGGCCTCA